CTCTTAATGTGGTTTAAGTTAATATCTATCATCTTTACCACATCTCAATATTCTAAGTAAATTTTTATTGCCTTAAATATTGCGCTCTTGTATATGTGTTTTGTTGGACTATCACCTTAATAGTCAATAACAGGAAGTTTATCCTAGCACATGTCTACTAAAATTATTTATAAAACGTAACCCGAGTACTAGGAAAGTCCGTTCAGAAGTCCTGGTCATGATCAATAACCAACCGTCTTGAATGTACAACAATAATCATGTGGTTATCACGTGATGTCTTGATGGCATCTTACTACGAATCACCATTCAGTGGTTTGAAAATGAATCAATTCAGTTCCAATCAACTGACCATCCAATTTGTACACGAACTGCGTCAATATAAATAATTGGAAAACAGGATTGTGCTCTCGTACATGTTGTCAACAATCAGTAGCCAACATGGCATCTACAGCGACCTATGAGAGTGTCAAATGCACTACCGATGAGCACATATTATCTATTACACCTCAAGCACCACATAAAGAGTTAGACTTACTCCAACTCAAATGATCTCACAAAAAGTCTATGTTGCTGAAAACATCCACCCATATCACAATTTGTGTCGTCAACTCCGAAATACATGCTGTACACAATTACTATAAAAAAAAGGTGCACAAGGGATGACATCATAATTACTTTTGTCATCATAACATAACAATCTGACTGAATCGCCATGCCTTTTCAAGTGCCATATAAGAGTCATCAAACATCTATTGCATTAGATAAACACGGAAATAACTTAGAAAATAAATCATTTTGGCTGATTCGTACAGATTATGTTCATTTTTTTATTAGAGTTAAAGCACAATTCAGTTACTGCACCTTAGTAAGAATAGTATATACAAACCAGGATATCAGATGCAATTTTATGTGATACAAATACAAACGTCGAATTATGTGTAAGATTGTGAATTCCCCAATGAGGTTTGTACCAGTACGTGTTCACCAACATTCATTATAAAACGTAACCTGAGTACTAGGAAGGCAAGGAGGGTTGAAAAGTCTTTTCAGAATTCCTAGTCATGATCAACAGGTGATTCTAACCGCCATTTTATCTAACAATTTCAACTGTCCTAACTGTGTATCTAATGAGTTTTACGTGGTCTGTTCCGTAGAAATAATGCTACAATTAAGCAAAATAGATTGAGTGATTATTGCAAAATATCAAATCAAAGACTTATTACCAAATATTGCCAAATCTCATAGAAAGTAAGGATCAGAACACCATTTCAGTTGTCTATTTTTCAAATAACCAACCGTCTTGAATGTACAACAATAATCATGTGGTTATCACGTGATGTCCTGATGACATCTTACCACGAAACGTCATTCAATAGTTTGTTTCAATCAAATGATCATCCTAACTACACAATAATCAAATGACTATCGTATGATTTACTGTATATACACCCAATCATGAAATACCGCTGACAGTTGGAAAAGTAAGAGTCCGAAACTATTTTCTAGTTGTTGGTTTACTGAATAACTGGATCATAAACCATGCTGTGAATAATATACACTGCCATACAGACACATTGGTGTAGGGCAAACACCAGGGGCAAGCAGTGAAAACATATTTACTGTCAAGACTGATTACAGAAAATCAATAGTAACTCTATCTGCAACGATACTTCTGGATCGTGAAAGCTATTATAAACAACAGCAGTACTAGAATAATCTCTCAACTGCAGGACTTTCCCATACAAATTTATGGCATTAATTAATTTTAAGTTTCTACATAATTCAGTTACTTACATTTAACATTATTTATCACTTGCCTTTATATTGATTTGATATTATAGTCTGTTTCTCTTTTTTTTCTAGACCTAGAAGTTAGGATATCCTGATTGTGAATACGAGGATTGATGGTTCACGTCCCACTGCCAAAAAATGATGTTCCTTGCTTTGAGGTCATCAGTGCGTATAAGAGTGATGTTCAAGTTCTACTATTCTATCAAGCAAGAATAGCCCAAGAGTTGGCGGTGTGTGCTATTAACCAGCTACCTTCCTATATGTCTATCATCTTAAAATAAGGAATGATTATCAACAAATATCTTCTGTGTAGCTTTGTTTAAACATTCTAAATACAATCATTGACTAGAATTTTTAGTATCCACGGTAGAATTTTACTTTGTTTCGCTTGAATATTATTCATTCGTCCTCATTTTATTGTAATTTTCTTGTTAATTATTCTCATTACTTGGTTTTAATTCATTTGTAAATTATTTTCTTTGTTTTGTTTATTACAAGTTATAATTTGGATTTCGGCCGTTCTATCCTGATTTTTTAAAGAATTTATAATATTATCTTTATCTATATCTATTTAACGTGTATATGTGAGGTTGGCTGCTGTACTATATGTTGATGATTGGTTTGTATTGAATTTTTTTTTTTTTCGTGTACAATGGGTGTTTTTGGCATTGTAAAATGTTCAGTATTATAATACCCGAGTTTTGCTAGATATTATTTAAGTATTATATTAAAGAGTTTTTATGTTTGCATCCATCTAGTTCCTGCATTTTAAAATCATTTAATGATTTGTATTTAATTGCGTAAAGTCCCAGGTTTGGCAAGTGATTATCGTGCATATTATATATTTATTTATTGCTACAAAACTCGACCATTTTTATTTCTATATCATTAAAGCGTTTATGTTTTACATGTTATCTTGTGCCCGCACGTGTACTGGCATTGGCTGTTGTTTGGACTTTGGACTATGGTTCTTTGGTCGCATGAACTGTACACTCGACCATGATTTAAAACTCCAGTTTGGTGTCAAATTAAAGCAGAATGACGATAATTTAGAATAAAGGGGAAATTTATTATTGGCAGCTACCATAAAGTCACAAACTAAATCCTTGTTTACTTTGAATCTAAATAATTGTTTAGTTTGTTACAAGTCATAATAGTCGATCTAAACAAAATAGTGTTTGTAATATATATTTTCTCATACTACTCATCATGTTTCATGTATATTTGTAGCATTTGTTTTTTATTTGTAGTAATAAATATATGTTATTATAAAACATTTGTATCGTTCTCTTTATTTCACATTTCAGTAATTCTTAACTACCATTCTGCTAAGCAAACCTATTTGAATCTCCTTTTATTGTGGTAATAATAATCAGAGACGGATCCAGATGGAGGATCTCCTTTTCCGATGGCTGACAAAGTTACAAGTGGCAGAACAATCCCCACCTTATAAAAAATCCTGGATTTTACCCTAACAACGTACCTGTTCATTGAAATACTATTTTAAAATATCACATCTAGAAGTAAGATGGTCTGTAGATAAGAGATCTGAATTCAAATCTGTGTAGATTTTTTCGCTTCTCCCACCCCCCCCACGATTGGGATAAAGAGCACAATGATGACCTTAAACATTTTATGACACAGTGCGACGCCTGTAACAAATGGTATTACTATTGTTGTTTAAAAAATCATCAGGTGTTTTCAGTAATGACTTATCATGGACACGTTTGATTTACCAAAAAGGTCATGGCATGTACTTACATTTTCTCTCCCAGCCTAGACTCATGTGATTCAATAATTAAGTGTTGAGGACCTTCCATATAGTGCAACTCATTAGGGGAAGACAGAAAGAGAAGGGGTCTGAATGCAGCCATTTTTTTCTTTTGTACACGATAGTTATTGATGAATACAGAGGGCGCGTGAAGTCCAAAAATTCACATTTTCATACATACCACATGATGGAAAGGACTTTGCTTATTCGTTTGAAAATTTATTTTGTCAATAGTTAATGTTGCAGTATGGTTGCTTGAAAAACATACGGAGTCCTAATGACACCACTTAATTGAATTGTCAATGTCTGCAGCTATTCTTTCACGCATACAGTGGTACAGTAAACATAACTTTGGGATACATTAGTCATACTTTGAAATGGATTTGACTGTTACTTAATTGTTGATTTGGTATAAATAATTGACTTGCATATGACGATGAAAAATAAGAGTATTTAATAAAGTATGAAGAGATATCTGATCAGTTAATTTTTCAAGTTCTTCTTATTAAGAGATGGGTTTGATAAATTTTAATGGTGCATTACCTGATAGGTGGAATTAAAATTAGAAATAGAATACTGAAAATTAGCAATATTTCAAAAAATTCCAGGGTTATTTTATTTTAATTATTATTGCTGTATTTATTTATTTTATTTTAACTATTCGTTCAAAGACAATAAAGGTTATATATATAATGCGTCTTTCATATAGATAAATCCAGAATGATATTATTTATATTTTTCTATGTTCGCGAAACATACCACACGCACTTTTGTTTAGGGTGATGCACTTTCCTGTTGCTTAGCAGCTAACACATGCGCAGTAGGTACCGGGTTGCATTGGATGGATGGAAACGAGCATGATGTTGAAATCACAGGAAAGAAAATCATCTACAACCTATTTGCGGGACACCCGCTAGGTTAATAGAATACATGGCTTTTACCGTACAGTAAACAACAACAATAAATACCTTGAAGCTGACACCGCAAACATAGATTGCTACCTTACCTTTTACATCTATTTTTACTACTATCATTAAGATCAACTTCCGATATAAGATCAAACTACTTACTTTATACTTTCTGTATATATATAAATAGATATAGATATTCTGGTCTCACTTTATTGCTTATAAATTAAGAAGATATAAGTTTAATTAAGTTACGACCGACATCCCTGTATATATATATATATACATTTAAACTAAAAGACTCTGTAAAGAGTCATAAAATGTCAATATAGCATTTTTTTTGTTGGTGTAGCAAGCAATAAGTATGTATATCTCAACCTTTCTTGTTCTCAAGTGTCAAACAAATCATCAAAAGGAAATCTTTTAACTTCTGATAAATAAGTAATAGTGCTCTTGATACGCTAATTTGTTTCATTTAACACTGTTAGACAGACTGTCATGATTTTGCTAAATATCGGGTTTCGATACCCGTAGTGAGCACAGCACAGATAATCCAGTGTTATGATTTTGTAACTCTGCGCTTAACTTCAAACTCATAATTTAAGTTGTATAATTCGGCTCTCGCGAGAGATAACCAATCGCTCACACTCTGATTTCGCGTAAACGTAGTGATTAGTACTGCATAGTCTAGACTAGGTTAGAAGAAAGGAGAGGTTATAAATTATAACGTGAAATTACAAGTTTCATGACCATGTGTCAACGTATATTTGTATACACAATAACATTTAATTTTCTTTTCATAAGAAGTTCTCACCAGTTTTATTTACCAGGTTTAGCACCCATTAATTACTGTGAAGAAGATAAAACAACAGGTAATTGTAAGGTATGTTTTTCTTCTTTTTTTTTTAGTTAGGCTTAACATTTTATGTTTACCTACAGTCGATACTATGATAGGAAACAGAAATTGAATTCGAACAGTATTTGACATTATTTTGTTTAAAATAACGTGTTTTTAATTTTATACCGTTCGTAACCGTTGGGGTATGTATATTGCATTATACTATAGATTTATAGGTATATTGAATAGGCTTAGAGTTAGACTTAAATGTAAATAATAACTAAATTGTAATGTTTCCAGTTTAGTAAGCACCGACTCAGTGACTTTCTGTGGCTGCATAAACCCACGATATTACTTTTTATCATTGAATAAAAAGCCTATAACCCGAGCGCTTTAGAAAAATGGATCTTTCTTCTTCAGGGGAAATTTTTATTATTAATATTAGTGTTAAATTAAAACACTATGTAAAGAACTGACACCATGACACTGACAGAAAAAGGGAGTGGTTAAATCTCCCAGTTAATATATAATTATTAGAATGTGTAGGGATTCCATTAGGCAAAGGGATAATTTGCAATATAGATGTTATTATTTTCTGTACAAACTATGGCATATCTCCTGATTTCACTTTCAAATCAAAGTTTCTGTTCACTTTCAGCATCACAGCTGGAAAATGAAAATAGAAAATAATTCCACAGTTTTCTGGGTCTTTGGTTTAAAATGTAAAAAATTATATGCAAGTAGGCAAGTGCATTATGTAATTTAGGATAAATATGTAGTATTTTTATACATTAACATTATTTTTTAGAACTTAAACTGAAAATGTAAACCTATGACAAAAATAACTGAGTACAATCTTAATGTGTTATGCATCCTGGCTTCTATTGAATGAATAATTTGCCTTCATATTAATATAAAAATATATATCTCCAGCATCAAGTTCTGTGTATGTCTGCCTGAATGAATTTAACATAACATAATGTTTAGGGACCTGTTGGTCCATCTAGGCTGTTCCATCCTCTAACCTAGAACTATTAGATGAGGAAAATAAATATATAAATCTCTCATAGCCATCCTTTATCATTGATATAGTTATCAAGCTTCAAGCTTTCTCTTAAACTCACTGCCTCCATCTGAAGGCAACCTGTTCCATAGGCCAACCACCTTTTAGGAAAATTAAACTGACTTAGCTGAATATGACTCTTACCCTGCCAAAATTGATATTTGTGTCCCCTAGTCCTATTATTCTCAATGTTAAGTATAAAAAAAGATGATGAATGAACATTATGAATTCCATTTACAATTTAAATACCTCAGTCAGATGCCCTCTAATTCTACTCTTCTTTTTTTCAAAAGGAAACAATTTTAGAGATTTCAATCTCTTCTCGTATGACAACCCCTCCATTCCAGGTACCATTCTAGTAACCCTTCTCTGAACCCTTTCCTAAGGTAAGGAGCCCAAGACTTAATACAATATTCCAAATGTGTGATAACCAGTGACCTATACAATGAAGTTATAACCT